GAGAGAGAAAGAGAGAGAGAGAGAGAGGGTACTTCCATCGATAGGATGAGCAAAATCGAATGAATCTACCCCTAGAACATCGAAATATACACTACTAGGACGAGTGGGGAGGATAGGGCGATCAAGGAGGAGGGAGGATCGAGGGAGGACGAGGAAAAAGGAGCAGCGACTCTCGGAAGTCGTCTCCTCCAACCTCTTTTGCAGCTGAAAAGGGAAAGCTGACGTGGAAGGGTGGAAAAGGGAGAATGACGCGGAAGGGGGGCGTGAAGGACGAGGTGGTAGGGTGGAAAAGGGGAGAGGATGGCATGAAAGGGGAGGGGGGACGACGACGACACTAACCATGACAAGGACGAAAACGGCAATCGTGACAAGGATGCCCTAGAGGAAAACGGTGACAGACGAGGATTCATCAAGGTGATGGACAACGAGGTGGGAGGAGGAGGACAAACGAGAAGACGCAAGACGACGATGATGATGGAGGAAGAAGGATGGTGAATGGAGGTGGAGGAAGGGGGTGGAGAGAAGAGGACGATGACGATGCATGGAGGAGGGAGAATGGAGGAGCGAGAAGGAGGGAGGACGAAATGAGGATGGATGGAAGAGGACGAGGGAGGAGGCCGAGGCGGATGTCCAGGGGGGATGTGGAGGTGGCCAAGTAGGAAGATGGGGAGTAGGAGTGAGCAGTTTGTCGTGTCCTTTTTTTTCTTTTGCCACTTTTTCTTCTACCTTCTACTTCTTTTTTTTTCTTTTTTTTTTTCAGCCGGTGTTGACGTGGCATGCGTGTCACCCGCGCAGGCGTCGAAGCTTCGTGAGTTTCGACGACGGAAAAGGAGGTGGATGACCACGAAGAATGCATAGGGGCCATGGAAATCTCCTCTGTATCATTCTGTGCTACTAAGAGGCGGACATGACTTGGTAGAACGATACGGCGAGGAGGAGGAGGAGGGGCTGATATACGCTGGCATATGTCACATTTGTCCATGTGGTAGTCTGTGGAGGAAGTCCCTGTATGAAAACGACCCACAACCAAAAAAACAAAAAAAACAGTGTATCTCACACACACACACACACACACACAGAGAGAGAGAGAGAGAGAGAGAGAGAGAGAGAGAGAGAGAGAGAGAGAGAGAGAGAGAGAGAGAGAG